TGCAGCCTTCTTTTCTGCCGTTTCCTTCATCTTATGTTTGACCTCATCTCCATTAATCTTTCTCTATCTCATTATGCTTTCCCCTGCTGTTCACTAATGCTTTGGAAGATGCAATTATGTGCTCTACTCGATTCTTATCCCCGTATCTCCTTCCATTTCAGGCTGTGGTGGGTAGATTGATTGATCACGTGAGTTGACGATCTATATGTATATATATATTTTCATTATTTCTGTGTTTTCGTGTAACTCATTCGTTTATAGTTATTTATCTGGTTAGCGATTGATGGAAGCATCACCCCTGGGGGAAAGACGGTTTATTTTATCGCCTGCTCTTCTTTGTTTTAGTTTGGTTTCCGTAGATTGCTTAGAGATATTTAGTTCCTTCTATTGGTTTCCTAGCTGAATTGCCTACCTTGAGTGGTCACTGGTTCTCAATGTAATTTTGCTGCAAATATGTGCTTTTTGAAGTTATTTCGACATTGGGTTTATGAACGCTTGATGTCTTAACACATTCTCAAGTCATTCTCTTCATTTTAGCATTTGGAAGTGTGCTTGGTAAGGTAATGCGACTGCGGGTTGCGATTTCACATCGTTTTGACAAGTAGCTAAAAGCTCTTTCTCATCCGCAGAATATATTGGAAATTAACTCTTGATCTAATCAGTCAAATTCTACACTATATTTACAGTTTAATGTCCTTCCACTGTTGATTTAGCCTTATATATAAATATATATATATTTGGTGTTCATTTACTCAAATGTCCTGAAGCAAACGAACCTAGTTCACTGTAGTGCTGTGTTTAACCGTCCGAGTAAATAATTTTAAGATTATATTTATTTATTTATTTATATCAAATGGCAGGCATTTTGATAGTTATCATAAGCCCTTTAGTTGACTTTAGGCTTCACAGACTATCAAGCCGTTTAGCTGACTTTAGGCTTCACAGAGAAGAAGGAACATCAAAGTGAAAAAAAGTCGAGAGGGGGAGGGGGGGACAGAAGAGTATTTCAAAGATGTAAAAGAGGCAGACACAATAGTATTTCAAAGATGTAAAAGAGAGAGACACAAAGGCAGAGTGAAAAAGATGAGGTGAGTACTGTGGAAGTAGTCGAATATGGATATAGAGTGAGGTGATGGCTGTTTGAAGTGAGAAGTCAACTGCCAGTTAATAGACTTTTGACGTATGAGTATACGTTGCCCAGGGTACACCACGTAGAGGTAAGTCTATGCGTATGAGTATACGTTGCCCAGAGTGCACCACGTGGAGGTGTATGAGTATACATTGCCCAGGGTGCACCACGTGGAGGTAGCCGAATGAGAATACGTTGCCCAGGGTGCACCACGTGGAGGTAAGGTGTAAGAATACGTTGACCAGGGTGCACCACGTGGAGGTAAGTCTATCACACACCCCATTTTAAGATTATATAGTGTATCATATTTGGTCATGCCTAGGGCAAAAGTAGTAGCAATGTGATTGAATACTTTCGGGACTGTGGAGGTTAGAAGATATTCTATTGCTTTATTTGTATTTAGTAAATAACACTCTCATGATATAGATGCGGTTTAAATTCTCCAGCCATCTTTTGCAATGTCTCCAGCAATGTTGATTTGGTTCATTTGTTTGTTTGTAGGACGATGTTCCCAGTACCTCAACTTCCCAAGCTCCGCCATCAAAACAGATCCCCAAGGTGACAGTGGTAGCTATTGACAACGGCCTCGCCTTCCCCTTCAAGCATCCCGATGAGTGGCGAGCATGTAAGCATTTAATCGCCATAATCACTGAGGTTGAATTGTAGGAAAAGCTTGTTATATTTTTTTGTCTAAGGGCAGTTTGTATTTAATCGTTTAAGCAGTTCTCATTAAGGTGGCTATAAACTGGAAGTCTTTAAAGTCTTACTTCTGAAATGTAATGGATGAACTGATATTATTTCTTTTTTTCGTAATGTTAGAAGAAGTGGCTATTTAAAGTATCATTTCTTTATTAAAATACAGAAGCAGGTCTGAGAATACCAAATTAACTTCTTTTTTTGTACGTATTGTCAATATGGATACGTGTAGTCCTACTTCCTTTCGATGCTTTTTTATAAATGAAATAACTGAACCTTTTGATTCAGGCCAGAAATTTATAATTGTCCCATAGTTTTTCCTTCATTGTATAAGATGTAAAGTTAGCAGTGTTATCAAGTGTTCTGGACCAATGATAGTTGATTGTTGAAGTATCAAAGAGTAGTGTTACAATATACAGTCGGCCTGTATTATTGGTTTGAGA